GAGTGGGGCTAGGGATAACACTGACAAAGAAATGCAACCTCTACAGAAAATTAAGTCAAATATGCTTGATCTTCGGGTGAGAAAATCGGCAACCTGACTCCACACATCAACATTCACAGCCTCGAGTAAGCCCTGAACTTTTGGGGCCGGAAGGCGGAGACCAGCGGACTTCAGGATGGTCACCTGTAACCAACTGATACTTAAAGTTTAGTTCGAGCGCAGCATGGAATGCCTGTGAGAGACAACGACCCAAATCCTCACTGGAGTTGGGTGAGCGATGAACACAGTCGACGAGTAAAGGGTGCTTATATCTTAAAGTTGCTTGGAACTATCATCTACCCTCTGTCACGGAAAATTCGGGAGGTGGGGCGGCAGAAATGCAAGTGTTTGCTTAACGTAGATGCAGCTTCCCCCACGACGTCTGTCTCAAGGCTGTCGACGTGATGCCCGCTGTGTACATTTTGATTTAAATTTTGAGGTTTAGACACTGACGATTCTAGACGTTTTTCTGCATACCACCGGGTGCCTGTATGACCTTGGAAATCCCGGCGGGCCTTCTCAGTGTCCGTTTTGGAGCTAAAAATAATGCCACTCGCCAGATAGGTGGTGTCCACGACCTGCAGTTGGGTATCGTTTTCATTGATATGCGGTGCAATGTGAGCGCGCTGCTTGGCAGTTGGTGCATGACCACTATTTCCTCCGTACTGATAATTAGGCCAAAGTTTTTACGGGAGGCGGTGCAGAGGTTTATGCTTCCTGGCAGGTCCCTTACTGTGTTTTCTTTGGGAACGACTTTGCAGAATATGATAGTAGATACGAGCACACGGCCAAGAAGTTCAGTATAAACCAAAATAATTTTTAGAATTAACCATATGTCGAGAAGGCTGCGAAGGTTCACACGCGATCGCTGTGTCTCTATGACTTCATTACTCAGAGATGGAGGTAAGGCTGTAGGCTTACTTCTTTAAGTAATTATCTTTCGGGGCATTATACTCTACCAGACAGAGTTTACCTTACTTTGCAGAGATCAAGATGTTGACAATTTGAACTCATATGTTTAGGATAGCAAGTGCTACAGTCAACAGTAAGTATAAAAAGACAGTCTGGCACGACTTCAAAGTCCAAATTTTTCGCAAACTGATGCTAAATTCAGAAGAGAGGGTGATGAGCAAACTTTGCTTTTGATAACTTCTGTTCAGGCGGGTAGAATTATATGGGAACGACGTACAGTGGTTGAAAAAGTCGAAAAAATTAGTTTTCAAAATACAGGCTAGGCAAGAGCGGACGGGCACAGAAAGTTGTATGTGGTTAATCAACCGTTGACCACGGTAAGCGCGGAGCCTGAACGAGGTTCTTCTGAGCGCATTAGCTCGGTATGCGCAAGGATGGCACTGTATATTCTCCTAGTTTCACCTTTTGTCAGCCATACGGGGAAGTGTTCTCGTATTCCTTTGGAAAGGCGCCGACTCGTGCGACCAAAATAACCTGCTCCACAGGAGCAAGTGAATGAGTAGATGCACATTGAGGTGGTCTGAGGTGGCAGCCTATCCTTGCCTCCTTCGCATAAAACAGGGTTAGTAGGGAATGATATGGGAACCCTTGCATCCGGGAAGGTTCTTATACTTACCAAATAAACTGAAACAGCTTGGTCAGGGCGTCTTCTTATGAGTTAAGTGGCAGCGTCGCCTTGGAAAGGAACTTTGAGAAACAAAGTTTTCTTTTCGGGGGTCAGTGTGGTGGATTTTGCGGGTCGTCCGGCCATGTTCTTCGCGATGAACCTGTCAGGATACCCGTTTTTGCGAAGCAAGTCTTGGATTTTTCTAAGTTCCTCCTCGATGCTATCTGTTGAACAAATTTTTTAGCTCTTTGTACCAAACACCTTACTAGATTTCGTTTTTATCGATTTTTCAGTCCCTGTTCCCGGTTCCCATAGAACAGTACCGGCCTGAAGAGAAGTTATCCGAAGCAACGTTTATCCGTCACTCTGTCTTCTGAATATTGCTATGGGAATTTTCACAACTTTGATACTAAATTACCAAACTGTCTAATGAGGCGGGCTTAAATTATGCGTGACAATAAAAAAGCTTTTTTTCAAAAAAATCTGTCCAAAATGTGTACTTATTGCAAACGCATATAAACTTTAAATCAAAAATTATCTTATGTTGGAATAATGAGCTGCTTGCCTCGGCCTTGATCTTACAAGAAATATCAAAAACAACCAAGCATTGAACAACCGCAGTTAATTTGGCCTATGTAGGACCAAATTAGACTGAACGTCAATCTTCTCCCCGAGGCTGATTAAATTTTTGTAATCAGGATCAAAAAATTTGGATAAGATTTTTTGAACTGATTTCTTCGATTCTGACGACCCCAAACATTTAAAACATCTAGCGGACGCCAAGTTTCCCAGCGATTTAAGCCACCCCAACATCCCCAGAAAGGTTTGGAGGAATGTACTATGTTGTTTTAGGGTTCGAGATTTTTTGGAAATTCAGGAAAAATATGACCCTTTATTTTCCATGCCCGTTGATCTATGGCGTTTTACTGAGTTGCAATTGGAAACGACCAGTCAAATTCCTGTTACTGAGCTGATAATGACCGTTTGCTGTGCTCTAGTATAGCACGGAACCAGGTCCGGTAATGGCTTGCAACTTCTGGAGGTGTTCCCACTAGTAAATCTGTTCTCATAATATACCTTGGAAGCCTAGAGTGGTTGCTCGACCGTCAAGATGTCCTTCGCCATCGTGCAGGGGACTTGAAAATCTTAGGATCGGAAGAGGAATATCAGAAAGTAATGATATTTTTCTGTGGGGGTGGGTTCTTCAAACCTTTAATCTACTCGTTTTAGTTATCCAAGCATTCGGTAAAGCAGTGGAAGTGAGGCAACAAGTCATCGCCACTGCCATAGTGTACTTTCGGCGTTTCTATAGCAGGTCTGGAGCATTCGCTACCTAACTCTTACAGGACCTCCATTAAGTCGATCGATCCTTGGCTTATGGCACCAGCATGTCTGTTCTTGGCCTCCAAAGTTGAGGTATTTCTTTTAGAAGCATAAGTGAAGTCCTAGGAATTTGGAGTCCTATCGCAAAAACTGTTAATGACAGCCTGCTCAAAAGTTGGTAGGCCTCCTCATTTGCACTTGAACTATTACCTTAGTCAGTAGCCAGTATTCGAAATACTTCAAGGACTATGGTTATCCCTATCGGGCTCAAGATGTTTTCGAATGTGAATTTATCCTCATGGAAGCGATGGTAAGCTTATGTCTCAATTTCACCACCCTTACCCTAATTGACGCGGTCAGTCCTATCACTTCTAAGGCTTTCTGGCTTATGTTGGTTGAACGTCCTATGAGCAAACCTTGGGGTCCAATGCAAATTTATCCTGGGACTCCCACCGGGTTTTCCTGTCAGGTCCTCAAGACGGTCGCCTTTCACTCCTTTCTAACAGGGTTGCGATTAAATTAACAAAATGCCGACTAATTTTGGCGTCATTCCAACTTCAGTGAACATTTTTCCACTTAAGATTGACAATATCTCCATGGACTTAGAGGGATCGCGTATCCATCCCGATTTTTCGTGTTGTAGGGGTGTTGCCGACGATAGTCAGGGACAATATTGTGCGGGGTTCTGACTTATTTGGCGTTATCAACTAATAATCCCCCAATTTCAGACGAGGGAGGCCTGGAATTTGAATTCCGGTCCAGTTGGTCACCGGTCTTTATGATGTACTGGCTGAGAATCGAGCTCGCGCCCTGGCGTACGTGGTCGGGAATACTCGTAGCCATATGAGGACGGAGTTCACTGGTCTGTCCCAACGTCAGGATGGAATACGGACGTTCCGTTTTTTATCTCGGACAAAGAGCCTCCACACTATCGTTTAGCGAAAAACAATTAATAATCGAACATCGCCATCGACAGGAGGCTGAAGTAATCGCTTCTTGGTTAATTTTCGTTTTAAACCAGCCTAGGCCGCAGACGCCTGAACTATGTATGAGATTTTTCTACAGTTCATAGGACTGCGCGCAATCATAAATATGTATAACCGTAACCAACAGTGCCCCTATAACTTTTTTTCCACTGAATGGTAGAGTACGAAGGTCACTTGTAGAACTTAAGCGTCCATCCTTTCGGAGGTCGTGAGAACCCCAGTTGCGTTCCAAATCCCCCGGGGCCTGTTTTTCTGATAATCGGAAGCATCATAAAGAGGATCTTTGCACAATAAGCCTTGCTTGGTAGAGCGGGTGCAGTACGGTTCCAATCTTGGTTTTTTTCAAAGACTTCGGTACCTTCTGGAGGCCGATGGCGAAATATGTTCGTTACATGAAGAAAACACAATTAATCCATATGTAGCGGTTCATAGGGAGGTAGTTGGGATGTTTTCAGCTTCAGTCATTTTAGCTGTCACATTTCTTCTGATCGTTGTCAACGCCATTCGAAGAATTTTCGGATTTAGCCGGGACGTCGTTTTGTTTGTCTGAAAAACCCTCTAAACTGATCACCCTTGTCTTTCAAAAAAGGTCTCGGTGGGAGCTGTGAATTAGGATATGGTTGAAATGGTCGAGTCCTACTGTTGCCGGTCAAAAGCAATGTAGACAACTGAAGAAGTGGTTTAGCCATTCTCCAAGACACTTGAGTAAATGTCTTTTCCGCTCAATAACTTATTGTGGTGCATGGATTGGGATTTTAATACCCGGGTTAAAGCCTTCAAAACTAAAAGTGACGCCAAGTCGCTCTCCTTTTGCTTTGATTGGGTCCCAAGTCTTGATCCAGTTAAACTCGTCTAGGAGTACGGCGCTCACAACGCCATTTATCTCCAGTAAATTAGGGTGCGGGACTTCAATGTCACCCCCTCACTGGAAGAGAAACAACTGACTCATCCAGTGATTTGCATTCCGGGGCATCTTGTTGCGATGACGCTATTTTCGTTTATTTACCGACTTTGTATTCCGTGTTTGTGCCATCGAATTACAATTGGTGTAGTAGTCACTGCTTTTGCTCTCAAGAATATGTACGACCATCCACGTGTGTTTTACCAATTTCGCCCCTTTCATCAATTTGCCCTGAAAATTCCTTTTCTAGTTGATAAGGTAGAATTGTTGTTTTGCACGTCGTCTGAGACTGCGAAAACGTTTGATGTTCCTACGTCGACTCTTTCTCCTCTTCAGGACTGTTCCCTTATAGTCTTTCATCCCTATCGCCCTTTGGTCAAATTTTGCGAGGATTTGCGGCCCCAGATGCTGGGCATGACGGATTGCCTTCTTGAGCGGGCTTGGTGAGCGAGACGTTACTGTTAAACTGCACATTTTATTTTGCCTAAGATTTGAGTCAGTTGTTTGTCTCGTGTGAAAACCTGAAACAAGGGGCTGCTGGCTAAACTTCTCTCCGAGGACTAAATGACACCGCGACACTAACTGGCATAGGTTTTAGGGCAGAATAAAGCCGTTTCGTCAGTATTTGACCAGCACTGCTTGAGGACCATCCTTCGAGTGAAGTTCACCGACTTCGTCTCAAATGAGACAGTCCGCACTCGCTGCGACAACATCGCAAGGATAACTCAGGCCATCCAAGAAAGACGACTGAAGTGGTTCGGGCATGTTCTTCGTCGTCCACCTCAGGAGCTCAGTGTTACTGCCCTCGATCCGGCACCGTTGCCCCATTGGAGGCGTCGAAGAGGGGGTCAGTTCAAAACCTGGCCCGACACAGTTCGTCAAGACATGGAGGTGGTTCTTGGACCTTCGGTATTCGGTCTACGTCGTTGACGAAGGGAATGGGTTGAGCTGTCCAGATCTGCTGCCGCGGATCGTCACGCGTGGAGACGTACAGTTCGGGACATCATCGAGGCCGGGACACTAACTGGCATGGGTTTGAAAGAAGACTAAAGCCGTTTCGTCAACTCCCTTTCACAGAGAAGGGAGTGTCAAAGAGGGTTAGGAAGACTCTTCTAACACAAACGTGACATACTTGAGGGACGGGGGCGGGGAGAGCAGTGTGTACAGCCCATGTTTCTGATTAGAACCGTCTAACATGCCGCCAGTCTGACTCGTGATTGTTGGGGAGCCACGTAAACTTTCGGCCTTTATTCTTCAGTATCTACAAAGCATTACCTGAGGGCTTGACTATTGGGGCCAGCATCTGATGCCATGCGCTTATTTGGTTTGTATTACAGGTGCGCGAGAAGCGTTTGCTGACGTTAACGAGTCGAGTAAACACAGTGGCTCTGCACCGTGCTTAACCCCGTCTTTGACAGGTCATGACATCTGTGACCTGAGTGGTTCGTCTACCGCATCTGCGCCTACACCACCATTAATTTTTATACTCATGAACGGTCACAACTCCGTCGGGTTCTTTGAAGTTAGTGTTAACGATTGTTAAACCTTTCAAGCATCTTTTAAAACACCCGTACACAACTGAATCCCACCGCTCACTGACTGCCACGGACTCGCCTGTTGTAGTCAGGAGGATCTGTCTCCTAAGTCCAGATACAAAAATTGGGTTGAAAACAGTCAGGACCACCGGCCTTCATACTTGTTATTTCGTGTAATATAGGCGAACTCCAGACGACTTTGGGTAGTGCAATGCTGCCATTACCACGCCAACGGGGTTCACTCGCATCTCCGTTAATCGGGGGCATTTCAGCGAATGGCCGGCGCCCAGCGGCTGCTCTACCCGACCTAACCAGACCCCGTATATTCTGTTAAGCTTACCAGTCTGGGTTGTTGTAAGTCATGTTGAGAGTGTCTGCCACAGTCCGTCTTCCAGTTTAATGGCCAAAGCTTTCTGTCAGCTGACGGCCCTCTAGTCTTTAGTTGGACTGCAGGGAGAAAAACGGTGTTTAGAACCTGTATCCTCTTACCACACGCAAAAAACTGCCCCCTCCCCTCAAACAGATAGCTTTTGTGCCAGGTGCCCCACCGCAGATCTGATACTTAGACTTGGATGCATTTCGGCGCGTCGCCCATGACAACGGCCAGCAGTAGCTTGTTCAACTGAGGTCACCTCCAGAGAATGCCCCCTCCTCCCCCTTAACGAAATCATACTATGCCTGACCCTAATTTCATCTGCACTGTTGCCGCCTTGACCGGGCTGGGGGTCGGGCGGTGAAGACCGTTTTCTACGAAGAGGTCTGTCGAAGCCGTCAGAATTCTCCTGTGTGTATGTGGGATCGCCTTATTTTGAAGTGGATAAGCAAGGGCCAATGTATTACCTAATGTAGACTCAGCATGGAGAGTCTCTCCTCAACTCCGGGAACCTTTAGGGCTGGAGAACGATCATCTGCAAGACCACTGTCCAAACTGTTTTGCCGCACTACCAAGTACTGGCCACATCGGACAGCCGGCGCTGGTGAGATCTTTTCGACCACTGGCGTGAAAACAATGTCCACTGTCCCTGTCCGCGCGAATAGATCTCTTATGCTACCATGGAAGTGACTTACAAACAGTTCGCTGCTGCCGCCGTCTCTTGACGACTGCTGAGAGAGAGAGGGGGAGGGGGAGGGAGAGAGTGCGCAGCCGATCAGAAGGAGCAGCAGCTTTTTGTCGACGAGGTCTTTTTCATCAGGCAGTAGCGACAGTTGGCTGATATATATTGTGGAGACTGAAAAAGACTCGAAGTAGGCATGGTAAAACCTCAGGCAAGGTCAGTGTGCCCACTTGTGATGTCACAGTCTCGATCGGTCCCTGCTTATCCTCCTGGCAGCCGCCCCTGCCTCAGTGGACGACGTTCTCCGGAACTCTTTTCGGTGTCGACAAACAGAGAAAGTAGTTTGATTACTGTCGCGTAACCCCGAGTAACTTGATACGAGACAAGCAGAGGTAGAGCGGATTCCCTGAACTGTCGGTCGCATAGAAACTCTCTCCTATTTCAACGGGTTTCTTATGACACATGATAGAAGCGAGTCCAAATGGCCCTGGTGTCAGACCGTGAGATTGATAGTTCGAACTGCTAATTCCATGGTGTCCCCATTAGGACAGGAAAGGCCAAGGCTTGCTCATGAGGGACCAAATTGTGTCCGACTTCTTTGCGCCAATCATTTCCAGCTAAGCCGGCGAAGCACACCAGATCTGATGTTAAACCGTTTAGAAGAGTGACACGTGCACAACTCGACTCAGACGCACCGGATTGCAGACAGCGATTTCGTTCACCTTGTCACAGAGTCCTAGATGATTCTAGAGAGCCTGATGGAACCCAACATCCTGATTATTATTCGTCCGTCCACTGCGGGCTTCGGAATTAACCTGCAAATATCCTCTTTGTCCATTCCTTTTTAGGCACATTGTAAACGACAGCATGCGGACGGATCTCTGTCTCCATTACCCGCCTTATCTGATCGCCCTCGGTAAGTCGACGTATTTATTCCGCTCTAGAGGGGTTGCTTTTCCAACCTTAGGTGTCTCATTCAGAAGAACGATAACCGGGCTAGCTTTAGACAGAGTGAATAAAAAATTCCTGCCGTTACATTTCAATAATCGGACGATGAAGCCCTGATTCCTGGCTAAGAAACTTCTGGGCAGTGTGAATAGCTGTGCATCACTTCTGTTTGCGGCACTCCTCGTTAAAACTCGTGTGATTTATGTCCCTAGGGCAGTGTCTGATGTAGTCGTGGATAGTATCCCTCCACTCGTGACCATCTGCGGCAGATGGTCTGATGAGTTTGACTTGCCCCATGTCTCCAGCGGTGAAGAATGATTACCGTAGATCCAAGAACCACCTCTATGCGACAGTTCGACCGTCGTTGCAGAAGATGTTCACCATGTGCTCCACAGCAAGGTGAGACCAAGGACGGTGACTTGCGAAGCATCCACCGCACTCTCTCCTCCCCACCTGAACCCGGTATCAAGACAGGGTCAAGAAAACCGAAGCTGGGGGGGGGGGTGCAGGTGGATGGTGCGGTCGAGCCCGCACCTTGGCGTTCCACTCCACATCCCTTGGTCAACACAGCAAATAACTAGGTTTTTGACCAACAACAACAACAAAGGGCAGGGGGCAACAGGGGGTCGCAATGTGCCCGACCTCTGTCGACAACCGGGTCTGCCATCACACCCCGAAATGTTGACATTTGCTATGGTGTGCAATCCGATATGGCTCCCGTGTTGGTCCAGCGCATCTACCACGTGCCCCTTTTGGGGGCACCAAACACCGCCTCTATACACACCTATGGAAGTGGTCGTTTGATCTGTGCATGGTTTCTGCCGCTGGAGGAAAGAATAAGTCGAGTTCCCCAGCTCCGCTGCCGCAGATCGTCACGCGCGGAGAGGTGTACTATTGGAATGGTAGAGGGCGCTCACCGATTGTCCTTACGGAACTCACTCGTTCCGTTGTGCCTTACGGGCTCTCTCTCTCTCGAGCCCAACCAGCAGCCGCACATTGGCGCATGATATAGGCAGAATGTTATTACCCAAAAAGACAAGGGAGGCTGGAATGGCCATTTCTGGCTTGTTAGCCGTCGTCAGCCAGTCACGCCCACCCCGGAAGCGTGGAACACCCGAGGCTCGAACTCGCGACCTGTTAGTTAGGAGTCCACGCCTCTAACCACTGGGTCACGAGCCCGTTGCCCTGTCGATTTCGATCGGTAATATGCAATGGTAGGGGGCGCTCACCGATCGTTATTACTCACTCGTTCCGTTGTGCCTTACGGACTCTCTCTCTCTCGAGCCCAACCAGCAGCCGCACAGCGGCGCATAATATAGGCAGTATGTTATTACAGGCAAAGGCATGGAAGACTGGAATGGCCATTTCTGGCTTTTTAGCCGTCGTCAGTCAGTCATGGGCCGCTGTGCGGCTGCTGGTTGGGTCATTCCAGTCTCCCTTGTCTTTATCCGTAATAACATAAGGTTACCATTCTCGACGTTATCGAAGCCGGCTAGATCAGGCATAATCATGGCGATACCAAGTACAAGTTCGCAGGTCGTGAAGGTTAGTGGAGGGTGAGGAACAAAACCGTCAAATTTCTATCGTCCTCCATGCTCAAAGCCGAGTATTCATACCTGCAGTGGTTACTGAGGTATGGCGTTAACACCATGGACATCCCCGAGGACATGGAAGAACCCTTTATGCGGAGATAATAGACGGTGGGACAATGTCGTCCTTACACTATCCGTCTTACAGCAACTTACGCTCGAGACACCTGAAACTCACAAAGGCACGGACGCTCTCCTTTGTCTCTTTGTCTAGCTATATCATCTGGAACTGCCAATTTCCTAAAGTCAGCAGCTGTTAAGCACAAGGGGTGTTTTTTTCCTCATCAGTTTCGCTGCGTTGATTCTCCTGCCTACTTTAGGCCTGGTTGTTTCTGCCACGCAGCATTTGCATGATTGACGACTGCAGCCATCGTGGATTCCTGTCGGGCCTCCGGGCGTTCGCAATCAAGCTCTCAGTGGACTACCCCTGAGATCTTCTGATCGCCAGGTCTTCCTTCGCAAGTTAAGAAATTCTGGGAGACTGCAGTCATTGAAGAGATTCGGGATGGGACCAGGGAGGGATTTAAGCCGAACGAGGCACCTATGCGATGCATGGTTTGGCATTTGAAATACCACGTCCTACCGAATATCTTGTGTTTCTGTCTGACCACGGTTACCGTTTACGACTGACGCCCTCACTACGCCTGTCCTATTCTCTACTTTAAGGTTGCATACAACTGGCCTTCATAAGTCTCGAGAAGAATCCGCCCTCTGAGGCAGGCGACGGCACTAACGACAGCACGTCTCTTTCCTCGGCCTGTGGCGGGCATAGCAGCAGTTTTCCAATCTCCAACAGACAGTCCAAAGTGAGCCCACTTGCTGTGGCCGAGCACTGGTTCGCCGAACTGACGGTCAACATGGAGAAGGTGGGTCCGACCTACTTCCCCTTATGTTATTTTTTTTGAACTGCAGAGAAGGAGACACGATCGCTAGAACAAGTGCCTTATTAGCCTGACGTTTCGGATTCTCACTCGAATCCATCATCAGAGACAGTAGCAGGTAAGGTTGGCGGATTGCCCAGATGTTGCAATATGTATAGGATGTAGTTGCCAGGCCGCTACGTGCTCATCACAGTTGGCAGCTCCCGAGGGCATCACGGCTCGACTGGCCAGGTGTTGAAGTATGCAGTTGCTATGCCCTTGTGTGCCAGTCAAGATTATCGGCCCCCACTTAGTCGAGTTGTTGCTGTTGGATTTCGTCATCCGTGTGGACTCTTGGGTGATTTGGCTCGCCGACATTGACACCAGGAACAGTGGTCATCCGCAGGCTCTCCTCGTGCCTGACTACTTTTCCTAGACAGAGTCTCAGCGCCGAATATAAAGTCGGGAGGTCGCTGCGCTTCTCAGAAAACCATGACTCGAGCAGTTCGCGGCTCACGCGGTTGTCACCTCTAGCGAAAATTTCTGCTTCGCTAAACTTGAATGTGTGGTTGGATCCCGCCGAATGAGCCGCAGCTTGGGAGCTGGCGTCTCTCCACCTCACTGCTGCTGCGTGCTCGACCATCCGTGTCCGCAGTAGTCTTCCGGTTTCTCCAACGTAGTTGCTTTGCCCACAACTACACCAGACCTGGTAAACGACTCCAGCTGTTTCTTGCCGAATATGAAGCGGGAGGGTCGAGCTGTGACGCACTCGGGAGCTGCCAACTGTGATAGGCATGTAGCGGCCTAGCAGCTACATCCTATAAATATTGTAACACCCGGGCGATCCACTACCCTTATCTGACTCTGTCTCTGATGATGGATTCAAGTGAGAATCTGAAACGTCAGGCTTCTAAAGCACTTGTTCCAACGATCTTGTCTCCTTCTCCACGACTACTTCCTGGAACTCGCCTCTCCGCTCCCATTAGCTCATCTTAACCGGTTGATTCTGTAGATATCCCTTGTGCTTGATGGCCCTTAAAATATCTGGGGAGCGTACTGATACCGTCGTCCTGCAGTCCATTATCACCACCGAGGGATTTTTCGGGCCCTCGCTGTCCATGATCCTACTGCAGTACCTTGACCACCTCCGACATCTGCTTCTACCGGACATCCCGCCCCTGCGGCCGTGAATACAGGGTTTTTTGTTGGTGGATAATGTAGACCTTCCCACCCCTCTCTAACCGTCGGGTACCATCCTTCTACTAAAGCAGGCCGACCGTGCCTTGAATGTATGACTGTCCGCACTCGCTGATCCGTCACCTACAGGACACCTAAGAAAGAGGACTAGAGTAGTTTGGACGCTTTCCTTTACGCCGGACGGCATTGAGAGCAATAAAGAGGTGGCCAGCACACAAGCTGACTTGAAATCGTCAGTCCATGGATGTTTAGAAATGGTTCTTGAACCTATGGATGGCGGATTGGGTCAAAATTCCAGATCGACTGCCTTAGATCATCAAGTTTGGAGAGGCCCTGTCCGCAGGGTCGCGGATCACAAGTGATCATGACCACACTAAGCACAAGTGTTCTTCTTGCCCCACTAGGACTGCTTGAATAGACCCACTTGTCCGTTGAGCGTTCTGGCATTGTGCGTGAGATTTCGTGGCGGAAAAGTCAACAGAGCGTTTTCACGCCTCCACCGCTGCGAGAGTCCTGGTTCGTAACGATCTTTCCCAACTGTTCGGTATTCGGTCTGGCGTTCGACAGGGTTGTATCCCGCCACCCATTCTGTTCAACTACGCTATTAACTGGATTCTCAGAAGGGCCCTACAAGAGGGCGACGGCGTTGAGTTTGCACCTGGACACCGACAGACTGATCTCGACTATGCCGATGATATCGCCTTACGTGCTTCAAGTTTTGGTGATCTGCAGTCGATGGTGTCACGGGTGAACGAGGTCGCCAAATCGGTCGGTTTATCGATAAATGCTGGGAAGACCAAAGTGTTTTGAAGCTGCATCCCCGACCAGGAGAAGGCACCCCTCGGGATTGATGGCTGTCAACTTGAAGACGTAGGCAGTTTTAAATACCTCGGGGCGAGGCTGCTGTCTAATGGACAGAGTAAGAACGACATTGTCTCCGGAATCGATGCTGCCCGCTGGGTTTTCTTAAGCCTTTGGAAATGCCTATGGATCCGACGTGACTTCCCCATCACCACTAAGATTCGCGTGTACCGTGCATCTGTCCGGTCTGTCCTTCTCTACGGTTGTGAATGCTAGGCTTTGCGTGGAGGACGAGCGAAAACTGGAGGTATTTGGCCACCACTGCTTGAGGACTATCCTTCGAGCGAAGTTCACCGACTTCGTCTAAAATGAGACGGTCCGCGCTCGCTGTGACATAATCGCAAGAATAACTCAGGCCATCCAAGAAAGACGACTGAGGTGGTTCGAGCATGTTCGTCGTCCATCTCAGGGGTTCAGTGTTACTTCCCTTGATCCGGCACCGTTGCCCCATTGGAGGCGTCGAAGAGGGAGTCAACTCGAAACCTGGCTCGACACAGTTTGTTAAGACATGGAGGCGGTTTTTGGAATTTCGGTATTCGGTCTACGTCGTTGGCAAAGAGAGTGGGTTGAGCTGTCCAGATCTGCTGCCGCGGATCGTCATGCGTGGAGACGTACAGTTCATGACGTCATCGAGGCCGGCCAGATCAGGCATGATCGCAGCCATATGAAGTACAAGTACGCCTCCTTTCCGCACTTTTTCATTAGCCGCCCTACATGACAACCATGACCTCAACGTGGCTGGCTTTTCGACACTGAACCACACTGCTCGATCGTTTTAAAAACGACAGTCCCCTACCCTCCCCCTTCCTGTGTTCTTATTGGTCATCTTGTCTCCTGCTGCAGGTCCTCGAGGTCTGCAGGCACCTGTTGGCGCTGTATGACCTGTGGCAGCGTTTTGACCCAGACGTGGAGATGCCGAATATTTTGTTGAAGAAACTGCCACGGCCCGTTGTCCAGCCGTCGCAGCCGCCGCAGTCGCAGCCTCAACAGCAGCAACAGCAGCCGCCGCCGCCGTCAAACCAACCGACCCAGTTTCAGTCGCGCCAGCACTCCGTCCAGTCCCAGCCCACCGCTCAGTCTGGCGGTGCTGCGGTCTCCCACTCGCCCAATGGCACGGCAATGGACCAACAGCAGCAACTCCGACAGCTGAACCCCGCAGCCGGTGGCGGCGGCGGTGGTGGTGGTGGTGGTCATATGCAGGGTCGGATGGGCCAACCGCCATACCCGTTTATTGCCTCGGCGGATCTCTTATAGTCACGTCTTCCACCGGGCAGGCTGACTTACCTTTTGTCACGCTTTATTTTCTATTCCCCCCCTCTCTCTCTCCCAGTGTCTTCTTTTTTCACTGTATATAAAGTGTATTTGGTGGGGTGGCTTGTGTCTCTGCCTCCAGGCTGCAGCGAATTCATGCAGCGGCACAGCTATGAGAATGTGTGTAGTCTGTGAGCTACAATTATCAAGTCAAATCCCAGATTGGAAGGAGAAGGCGGAAGGCACAAGAATGAGGGGTTTATTGTGCACAGAACCCGGAGTTGTCCTCTCTCGGGCTGCAGTGACCAGAAAGTATGGTTTATTGTATACAGAACCCTGAGTTGTCCTATCAGGCGATACCGATCACTGGTGAGGCCGGGCTGCTACTGACATAATGGAAGTAGTCTCTTCCTCCCTCTCTGTGCGTGTGTGTTTGGAGGGTCTGGTGATGCAATATCGGCCCAAGCTGTACCACCTTAGCGACCTCTGTCTTGTGTATGCGCATATGGCGGTGTGTTCTAGGACAGTGTGGGTAGGTAAGACAGGCAACAAGGATTCTTGGTCAGGACTCCCAGAACTTGATTCTCCTGTCGTGCTGCGATCGATTCACAGGTGTCCGAGCAGGCTTATGCGTAATTTGGGTGCGAGATCGCAAGGGAGACATGTGGTCAGTCGGCGTATGCTGCCGGCGGTTCGCCTTCGTTCCCCGATAGCCTGCGGACAGCCAATCCGAATGAACGGAAGCTGCATCGCAGTGTTGCTGGCAAACACCTATGGTGACGTCAATGTAGAGCAGTCCCCTTGACAAGAGCCTGTCAGTCATATTCCCGACGTGGCCGTTGCGTCCCAGCCTGATTCCCCTTAGCTGAGTGCGCCCCTTACGAAAGTGACCCAGTTTCCTGGCTGGCTTTGGTACACTGCTCATGTTTCCGTCCCCTAGAGGAGAATAGGCAGTGTTAGATCGGGGTCACCAAGTTGCAGTGTCTAAGCGAGGAAAGTGTACTCAGAGCTCTACAACCATCAGGCCAAATCCCGGGTTGTACGAAAGGCCAGAAGTCGCCAGAATAAGGGGTTTGTTGTATACAGAACCCTGAGCTGTCCTCCCAGGCGGCAGTGGCCGCTGGCGAAGCCAGGGCTGATGTTGACTGTGTCCAGTCAAGGCCCGAGAGTTTGTGGGGCAATTTGAAGTAGTGTCTAATTGGCGTGTGTTGCATTTGCCGAGGGGTGGTGCTCGCGTGGCTTGCGTTGCATTCACAGGGGGGGGGGGGTGTTTGAGTGGCGCATAGGCAGCTGAGGCTCTGCGGACGCATGTGCCTCCGAGAATTGGAGTCGGTCGAGTGGCTGCATATCAGAGCGTCTGAAACCGCTCACTGCGAAGGCGGATAATCTTGGCTCAACGGGGCCTTGAACAGGGACGTCAGGCATGGCCGTTATGGCTGCCCGCAGCAAGCTTTCGGACAAATCTCAATGTGTACATGGGCGACGAGCCAGTTAGATTTCTCCATCAAAAGGCGCAGACGGTTCCTGCCGGCTAAGATGGGTAATATGTTATTACCGACAAAGACAAGGGAGACTGGAATGGCCGTTTCTGGCTTGTTAGCCGTCGGCAGCCGGCCATACCCAACCCCGAAGTGTGGAACACCCGAGGCTCGAACTCGCGACCTGTTAGAAGTCCACGCCTCTAACCACTGGGCCACGAGCCCGTTGCCCTGTCGGTCTCGATCGGGAATACACAGTGGTCGGGGGCGCTCACCGATCGTTCCGTTGTGCCTTATGGACTCTCTCTCGAGCCCAACCAGCAGCCGCACAGCGACGCATGACATAAGCAGTATGTTGCTACTGACAAAGACAAGTGAGGCTGGAATGGCCATTTCTGGCTTTTTAGCTGTTGTCAGCCAGTCACACCCAAGCCCGAAGTGTGGAACAAGTTAGGGGCTAGATCGCAGTTGGTAGCCCGGAATGGGAAAGCGGACGGCGACCTTAACCCTAACCTTAAACGTTAACCTTAACGGTAACCCTAACCAAAATCGGAAACAGAACCGTAGCCCTCAGACATAGCCGTAACTGAAAAACCTTACCGTAATACTGAAACCTAATCGTACGCTCAAACCCTAACCGTAATCCGAAAACCTAAGCCTAAAGGCATAACCCTAACCCGAAAATCGGAAACCATTAATCGGTACCCTAACCCTAGCCTCAAATGTAAAACGGAAGCCAAAGGGGTCAGATGTGATTATGGAACCCCACAAAATGGTGCCAGTAAACAAACCCCCCAGCAACCTGTAATACGGGCCTGGCTACCAACTGCGATCTAGCCAAGTTAGATAACTTAAAATCAGGGAGACTGGAATAGCCATTGCTGGCTTATTAGCCGTCGTCAGCCAGTCATACCCAAGCCCGAAGTGTGGAGCAAGTTAGGTAACTTAAAATCAGCTGGCCCCGTATTTGCGGCAGCTCCCGCAAATACGAATATTCTGGTCCTAAAAAATTGGACGGCGACGGTATAGAGAAGGACCCCACTCAGCTGTCAGTAGACTGTGGATCGTGCCATGTGTGTATAAGCCAGTTTAAGTCAGTTTATTAAGGGAATGAGGCTTTCGCCCTTGAGCTACCTATTCATATCGATAAACAGAAATGGAATAGCGGTAAGTGTGAGCCAGGCGCAAACTGCCGCCGCTAAAACAATCCTGATTATATGTACAATAGTTTCTCAGCAAATGGGCATCCAGTCTACACTTGAAGGACTCCGCAGTTTCGGAAGGAACCACCGCATCAGGGAGTCCGTTCCATGACCCTGCGGGAGAAGGCGTTCTGTCGGACTTCCGAATGAGCCAGCTTCCTCTGCAGTTTGAAGGGATGACCACGCAGACGGTCAGTCCCGGCCAATTTGAAGAATTCATCAAAGTCTAGGGCGCACTCACAGCCTCTGACAAGTCTGTAGGTTTGAATGAGATCGCCGCGCAGTTTCCTATAATTTCGAGGAAACAGATTTAGTCCGGTCAGCCTGGTTTCGTATGGCAGATGATGACGATTCTTGACCATCTTCGTAGCCATCGCCTGTACTCTTTCCAGTCGTTGATAATCTTTCTTCAACCACGGTCGCCAGGCCTGGACTGCATACTCTAAGTGAGACCGGACGAATGTCCCATAGGTTCTCCCGAACAACTCTTTATCGATCTGCACAAATCCTCGCCTCAGCGCAAATAACACCCTTATCGCACTTTTGCTGCACTTTGACACTGTGATGATGGTTTCAGCGAGGAGGTCATTATGATGCCGAAGTCTTTCTGTTCCACAACATTTGAAAGGGGCTGACCACCAAGAACGTATTGCAGGCTACTGCAGCAATTACACTGTCAACAGCGATTACGTCCCACGACCTCAGACCCTAACTTAAAATCCGTTATTTTGTGAAATTTACGTTTTGTTTGGTGTTTGATTACTACTCTCATTTCCGTTGTCGTACAATAGCGTGGGATAAGACTTTTGGCATAAATTCAGGCAATTTTTGTGTTTTCTTTCATTTTGTCAGCTTGCTGTCCCACCCATAAAACTCCCTTTGCCAAAAATCACGTATGGCACGATCCACAGTTTATTGACAGTCAAGTGGGGTCTTTCCCTATACCGTTGCCAATTGGGCACGTTCAGGAGACAGCGAAAGCACAATGCAATGGATGCCGGTTATCCGTAGCAAGCGATTTGATTGAACTCCCATCATAGCTAGTGACCGAAATGCCAGACACGTTTGTTGCTGACCTTCTGCTGTTTATGGCTGGATCTGTCTTTAGAAACGGCAGAAGACGAAGGGCCCGCAACATCGCTTACTGTCTTTATTGCAGCATCTGTCCAAGTAAATACGACAGAGGGAAGATAACTCCAAGGCACAGAGGTAGCACAGAGGAATGGCGGCCGATCTCATCAAATCGAAATTCTGAAATGTGTTTCAAGTCAGGAAAGATTGCCTAAGTAGGGCTGTAATATTGACTATCTGGTCAGATGGGGTTATGCAGCCCCACCTGAAGTAAACAAACCTCAGCCATCTGTAATACGAGACCGATGGTAAGATGGGTTTCTTACAGGTGGGCCGGGGAACGCACAGGCTACGAGGTCAGGTAATCGTATGCAAACGAATAGCTATTGGGAATGCGCGTTTGTACTTTGAATGGTTGAGAAATAGATGCCCTAACCCTAACCCCCAACTCTAGTCCCCAACCCTAACCCCTAACTTTGAATGGTTGAGAAATAGTTGCCCCAACCCTAACCGTAACCCCTAATCCCAACCCCAACAGTATTGTGTTTATCAGGTGGGGCTACATGACCACATCTTACGGATATCTTGCGAGGTAATCGCGTAATATTTTAGACACGACAGCGAGTTTACTTTTGAATGCATCTCATTTCGGCTGCCTGCAGAAACCGCACTCGGTAAAAAAAGTGAGTACTTAAGTGACACGCACTTTCTTCATCGACTTTTGTTATGGAGAGTGAAAGCGGCGTAGAGCCACGGCCTAAGGCTCTAAACAGGGGACCAAGTCGGCGACGTGAGTCACGCGTGAAGTTAGACGACCGACCGGCGCGCACTGCGGCGCCGAGCACACGTGGTGGCTTTGCTCACGTGTGCGGCCCAATCAATGGATGGCCGAACATTCCAGACGTTTCCGCGGGGGAGGGGGGGCAATCGCGCACGCGGTGGCCAATCAGCGACCAGCACGCTCGGGGCAGGAACATTCTAGAACGCCCTCAACGGCTGGCACGTCATTGGACGGAATGTTCCAGAACGCACGGGAGCCAATATAAATAGCACATATTTCTTACGAGTTGTAACCCCCTCCTGTTCGCAAGTTCCGATAAAGTGCTTGTCCTCCGAACCGGCTCTCTTCCTGTCCTACCTTCCTTCCGGGCCATAACAACTTTCGATGCCATAGTAAATTCAAATGTATTTTATAGGAAGCCTCCTCAAAAATATTACTCCTTGCACTCACTGGATGGCAAATCATGTCTTCCTCAGATTCTATACTTGAAGAAGGGGTATCTTTAGGCTTTAACAAGGGTTTTCAATTATCCAGTAGTCACGAAATTGATCTGCAGTTGCATTTTTGTTAAGGCGTTTTCAGTCTGCAAGGAAGGAGAACCATTCAATCCTTCATGCCATTAAGAAAATAGAATATGTGGTTCATAAGACATTGTGACGGATGTGGATTATGCTGTGATGAGGAACATCGTTGAGCAAACAGCTAAAACAAAACTTGCATAGACAGTGCACGATCTTAAAAAATCGCATAATTGCAAGCTTCTTCCTAACCGAAAGATAGCCTTCCTTCGAATACAAAATTTGAAGAAGACGTGATTTGCTACCGAATGAATACAAGAAAAATATCTTTGTCCATCTTCTCTGCAAAATTTTTTTGAATTTATTAGGACATCGCACTTTGACAGGGGAAGCGCATACTACCTAAGTAGTCATGTTTGGCGGGTGCGATTTCTTCAGGCGACCGAAAAGAAGGGCATTCAAAGATAAGGGCAGCAAGATAATCAGTTTTGCAATCCCACTTATGCAATCCTATCTAGTTGGAAACACATTTTGGGTGGGGGTAGGTTTCACAACCCCACCGTGTTTAATATACATGACTACCTACTTTATTTATTTTAGTAGGTCTTGTTTGGTTTATTACTTGGTGTACCTAGAGGAAGTGAGGTCATACAAAACACCGTTGCCACACTTTATAATTTCGGTTTATCTCTCATGAGATCAGTCTCTGACTACAATTAGTGGTTTATTCAGTAGGACCGTATGTCAGCAGTAGCAGTTCAGGGAAGACAGCGCGCCTGGGGACATTACTGGCCGTCATAGTCGGACAATCGAGGACGCAGACGAGGTCTTTAAACCAGCAGACATGCGTCTGCGCAGGAACTGCATCGTGTGGGCGCATTGTTGAGTAGTCTATCGCCGATAAGGATAGGTGATGACAGAAGTTCAAATGCCCGTATTATGGAGTGACATCTTGACCGTAAGCGAAAGGGACTTGAGACCACGTACAGCATATCAGGCCTAAGAGCATTTCTACATCATCGTAGACTGTATCATGATGGTAGAGTGGTGAGTCCAGCCAAATATCAGCAACCGGTTTTTACGTGAACTCTGTGACTGACATCAGGGCACGACCCGCATGAAACAGCTGACCCGAATGTTCGTGCATTGACCAGGAATTGATGAGGACATGGCGTATTTCGTCCGAACTGGCGACCTGTGTGAACTTGAAGCTAAGAACTCAACAAAGGTATCACCGGATGCCATGGTCGAAGGTGACGAGACCTTGGAGTAGAATACATCTGGGCTTCGGTGGACTGTTCTTTAATTGGGTGTTCATAATAGCTGTTAGCGCATGGTTTACCCCTTAAAGTGGGCCACGTGGCAGATGCGCTGGACCAACACGTGGGGGATAGATCGGAATCTAGCAGGCGTTATAAAGAATGCGCACCCATAACAAATGCAAACATTCGTGGTTTGTTGGCTTGTCTACCGTAGACGCCTGAGCTGTGCGTGAGGCCCTGGCTACCACGGCCTTCCGAAGGTGGACGCCAGTGGGGAGGATGATGCACCCTGTACAGAATAACTGGAGAGGAAGCTGGAGAGAGTTAGCAGCCGGATGAAGGCAAGTCCGGCGCCGGGAGAGGGCGTCCCAAACATGTCTTAGGACATGCGTCAAAACGTCTTAGGCCAGGGCACGTCTGACTCGGCCTTGAATCTGATTGGCCAGTTGAAAAGCTGAGTAGACGAATTCCGGACAGCCTTGGTGCGCATGAGAGGCCCAGCGTTGCGGCAGGCTGTCGGAGTCGGGCCACTGCACGTCCACTTGTAGGTTCACGTAGCGCCAATTGGGATTCATGCCGTCCCCTCCCCATTTTCTTGGGTATATGATCCGAATCAGTGTTCGTTGTTGACCAGGGGTTGTGGTGCTACGCCTAGATGCGGGTTCTCCCCGTGCCAGCCACCTGCGTCCTCCCCGGTCTTCTTGACTCTGTCTCGATACCGGGTCCAGGTGGGGGGAGAGGAGAGAGTGCGGTAGATGCTGCGCAAGTCCACCATCACTATAAACAAACAACATCTGTAAATCCTGCATGTGACGACACCTCCGTTTCACTCCCAATCTAACGGTCAGGAAGGGCGCTTTGGCGACACCCTCAAGAGAGCAATGAAGAAGGTGTGGGACGCAGGCGTCGAAGCAGACTATCTCAACACGTTCCTTCTAACCCGCAGAACAACTCCGACACATGATCTTGGGGGTCAAACAGAAGCCGAACGTTTTTTTTGCACCGGTAGCCTTGTGTGCGACTTCAGTATCTGAAACCGGACATGCGTGTTTCCCAACCGCTAAAACACTCCGTTCGGAATGCAACGGAGATGTTTGCTCGTAATTACAACTCCGAAAAAAGCCGTGGGTAGAGGGTATAGGGTCTAGAAACGTGTTGTTCAAGGTGGAAGCAGCATACGGAAAAGTCAGAAGACATGCAAACCAATTCAGGCATCACAGACGATCAAGTAGCACTCAGCCAACTACGTGATACGTTCAAGGATCCGACTCCCAGGACAGACAGTCATCCGACACCGCTTGCAGTCCGTGGGAAGACAGCCGCCGAGGAAACTCATCCTGGACTCGAGGACGAAGAGGTAGGCGGTCCAGTTTGTAAAAGTATGACTTGTTATGGAGGACGGAAGCAGATTGGAGTCGCAACCAAAGGCGAAAGGAAAACGTGATCACGTACGGCCCAGCAGGTCAAGCTGACTGCGTAATGTACGCGTGAAATCAACTGGCGAACCAGAGTGTGTTTGTGTGTGTCCCTCTCCGCGACTACTTCCTGGAACTCGCCTCGTCGCTTCCACTAGTGTACCGCATTATTGAGCAAGTGTGATGTCCTGGCTTGCTCGTGCAGTCTAGCCAATGGCCGGCCGAGCATTCGCGATTTGCCCTTGAGGGGGCTATTGTGCACGAAACGGCCAACCCATGACTACCACGCCAGGCTCCAGAGTGTGTTGTGGAACTGTCAAGACCCGAATAAATAAAGTTGATAAAATAAAGTGCTTGTCCCCGCAGCCCGCCCATCTCCCACCGACCTGTCGAGACATAACAGAAAATCCAGCCTTGCTTTGATCGGGGCAGGAAGTTGTTTTGTGGAATACAGTAATTGTACGCTGCGAGCCGCGCCAGCTCACCGTCCTATCCAGACGGCTGACACGCACGCTTATCGATCGATTCCCTCCCCATTTAAAGGCGGCGCGGACGCGTTGTCTCAGCGGTAGCGGGGTGTGCTTGTTTGCGTACAGTGGCAGGCCTCAGGAATGAAAACATGTGAGGAGCCATGGCAGAGGGATTTCAATTCAAGCTTCATTTTTCACTGAACGAGGGAGCTGTCGAAGAAGTCGGCCTGGTAGAACGTCGCCGTCGAGACGCCAGCGACACCCACGCAGGCCTATTAACCAACCTCTGGTCACCAGGCCAGGAACGTGTTGTGGCTGACTTGATTCAACACTTGAGAGACGAGGGCTACAGCGTCTCTCCTCCTTGCAACCAAAATAACAATGTGATCATAAATAATTCTGACTTTTTTGAGGGACAGGACTCTTTTCGCGGCAGTTTCGTCAGTCAGACTCGGCAGTCCCCAGACCAAGATGATATTAGCAGAATTGAGGCTGAGATTGAAGGATCAGCTACACCTAATAGGACTGAGGGTCGATATCGCATCATCCTTGATTACTTCTATGATGCAGACAAGGGTCAACAACCGATTGGAGAGAAGTCAGTCAGTAAACTCCTTCGGCTTCTAGACACCTCTCAAGAAGGCTACGGAAAGGATGGACACGCAGCCGTTCTGAAGGAGCTGAAACCCCTCCTAAGGAGCATTTTCGACTATCTGATGAACTTGAAGAACCGCAGAGCTCCAAAGCCTCTTCCGCGCAAGGTAAAGGTTCATACTAACCCACCGGAAAAGGTGGCTTTGAGCGATTCTGATTCCACTCCGACGGCCGATAAGGATAAGCCTAACTTGAAGAAGGTCAATCTCACTTTCGAAGACCTGGGGCCATCCTCTTCAGGTAGTTCGGGTTCATCGGATTCGGAACTGGATCGCGTAGTTAATATGGTGGTGAAAATGCGCGAATCAGAGCGGCTTATGTTCAAACCGGGTGGAGGGTTGGTATCAATCAGCAAACTAAAGAACCCCACATCCGGCGTCGTTGAAGACGATCAAGAAGATTCTGACAGTAGTCGTTTCGGTGGCAGGGAAAAAACGATGTCTGCCTATTCAAGGAGTCTGTCCGTGTACGCCGATGACTACGCTGTAGGCAGATCACCGGTAGCTGACAACCTACGCACGGCGGATGAACAGGAAACCACTGCCTTCGCGAGTGAATCCCATTCCGAAGGGACTTCAAAGCACAGGCATAAAGAGCAAGAACATCATGCCCCCCAGACACCGTCTTCCCTCAACAAAGAAGTCTATCTGGAGTGCGTTGATGAGAATGCGGACGATGGAGCCGATGACCAGGAAACTACCGCCTGTATACGCGACCCTCTCGCGCAAGCAGAACCGGGACACAAACCTAACGAGATAGAACCTTCTTCTGGGGCAGTGGATGCTTTAAAAAAAGCCGTCTGTGAAGACCCTTCATGCGTCTCGGGCCCGTTGAAGACATGGACTAACGATGGTGGTCGTCAGGAGGTCGGATCCGCCATGTCTACTAACACAACGAGTTCGCATTCAGTGGAACTTGCCATTGACGGGGCCACGGACTCCAAGGAGGACACGCCAGTTGGGCTGACTAGCTCCCAACCCCTGATAATGACGCCACTGGCGCATAAAAAGGAGTCTAGACACAAAGAACTCACGGTCCTTGTCACTACACCCGAATCCGTGGATAGTCAAGTGGCTTCCTCCCTGGCGCCCTCTCAGAAGGAGGCTTCACCCAACGTGGACACAGTTGGGCATTCCGCTACCCATCCCCTTGAAATCCGTTCAGAGGGCAACCTGACGGAGAAACCGCAGGTCACTTTTCTTGCGACCCAGCCGACCACACCGGAGTCCATGCCCAATCTAACTGGTTCACCCTTGCCAACTGCCCAGACAGACCGTCCGACCACCGGTACCGTTCCGAATCATGCCGTCCAACCTGTCGCGGGTAAATATGAGGACACCTTCACAGCTGAAAATTTCCTCCCGGACTCATTTGGACGTGTAGTTGGTGAAACCACTGACGCACAACGGGAGCTTCGAGCTCAGAGCATAAGTCTCGTGGAGATGGCTCTGGGGAATGCCCTGGGACTGATTTCAGGGAAGAAGGGGAAGCAGCTTGAAGCAAATGAGAGCACTTCAACGCTGGTAACGGCCCCTGAGGGCGGCGGCCCAGGCTCCCCGACTGAGGGCTGCACTCAGTTTGACATTGATGTACAGGTGTTAGTAGAGGGAACTACTGTTAGCCGGCTGATAAAGACCTGTCCGATGTATCCCCTGCGTGACGATCTCACCCTTAAGTTGAAGGAGGGCAAGGGAAAGGTGACTGTCTTCTCTGAATTTAAAAACCTCGACGACGACAAGAACAGCCCTTCCGGCAGTATGCCTTCACCACACAATAACAACACTTCCGCCTTTCTGGAAGACCATTGTGAAGGTCACAATAGTATCCTCCAACGAACGTTGACATCACACGGACCAAGAACAGACAGCCGGAGTGATGACTTTATGGGCCGCCCGCGGTGTCCCCGCTCTGAAGCCGCCCTCAACACCTGCCATGTCTGTGCAATCCATGACACCGGTGAGGGTAGTCTGCTTTCTACTGCTGAGACTGAAAGCCTTAACAGTAGCAAACCCACACCAAGGCGACGAAGATGCCGATCCATCCTCAGGAGTTCGGCGAGTGACTGTGCCGAGACCTGCCTGAAACGTGATGTGGAGTTTTCAGCCAAATTCCTAGCTCGTCTGGCCAACATCCGATTTTCATCCAGACTCTTCGCCCGCGGATGCTCCGCGCCTCACGGCGCCGGTGGATTAAACAACAATAATAACGCTGTCTATAAGGTGGAAGGTGACACCTACTATGTTCCTCCCAGGTGTCGCTGCTCCGAAGCCAGGCGCGATCATTTTTTTCGATGGTGTAAGGCCTTCGAGGAATGTCTGAAGAAGAAAGGCCTTCAGGGCGCGAAAATAGAGCCGGGCTCAAAGAAGACCCATCCAAACTTGCCCCTCACCGGTTGGCCTCTTCGAAGGTGTCACTCAACATGCACCCGCTTGTTCGAACCCATGACTGAGGCATGCGGTCTTTTTCGACCCTACTGGAGTACACACCGTAATGTCTACGAACCGGACCACTGTCTCCTGCGCCACAAAAGATGCACGAACAGGAACCCTCTACCGGTACGAGCCAGAAGACCGACAGACTGCGAAGACAGCCCCCAACCGCAGTGGGACCCCGCCCCGGACTCCGCTCCGTGCCCTCCCCTGAGGCGCACTGCCTCGCAGCCATCGCCAGCGTACCCACCTCACAGATGCACCCTGGATACACCGCCAGTAGGCATGGATCGTTTTAGGGTTGGAGACGGTGTCACTCCCTGTGCGGCTGACTGCAACGACGCAGGAGGGATGTCCCCGTCACGACTTTGCGCACCGAATCCTGCCTGTGGTCCGGCGACAGAGCCGCCCTCAACCAGCAGTTTTCACACTGCGGACGCGGACATGGGTTCGTTCCGTTGTCATCAGAGGAAGTCGGCTCCACCGTCTCCCAGCGGACCCTGTAGGTCACCGCGTAGGCATCCAGCCTGCTCCCCGCCGCCCCCCGTTAAACCTCGAAGGACCTGTGCTCAGGAGTCTGCTCTCCGTCCTCTTAAAGAAGTTGCCAAATGCGTAGCACTTACATCTAATGTCGTTGATCCATGCGCTTCCAGACTGGACCCATCAGCCCAGACCCGGGCCATAACAAGGACCGGTGAGCAAGTGCGTGGGGCTGTTCCGCGTGCTGTTAGGGAAAGCAGGCCACGAAGTGTGTGCAAGGCTGAAGAGCCACCGCGCAGGCACACTGAACCGGCAGGCGAAAGACACGCCCTGCCACAGGCAACCAAAACTGTAGCGAACCAGGGTCCGGACAGTGTGCGTTTTGTGAGCCAGCACCAGTCGGTGATACCGGCGGACGACCCACCCAAACCGAAGTCCAGGTCACGACAAAAGCAACGACAACCAGGTGCTGTGAAGCCGAGGACTAGATCGCTGACTGCCGGCGAGGGTCCCTGTACGCTGCCATCTTGGAAGATACCAAAGCCCATCGCTAGAAGCAAGCCCTGTCTCGATAGCTTCCTCCAGTGTCGTCTTCAGCATGACACCACCTGCTACATATCGCAAGGCCGGTCTGTAGAGATAAGCAGACAGCGCCAGACTGCAGTGACTCCGCACAGCACCCCCGTTTCACCGTCACTCGAACAAGCAGCACCATCCTGTCAGCTGAAGCACTACATCTTGCCCTCTAGATCTCCTAACCCTTACCTTGATCGACTCTGGCAGATGACTAACAGTGCCTGTCCGACAGTGAGCCCCACGTCGGTAAATGGTTCCAACTACCACCTCAGTCGGAACCCCGTGAAGGACTACCTTCATGTTCGAAGAGTCGACAGCAGGAAGCATCCGCAGAGGCGGAATAGCAGCGGAGAGGGTAAATGGCGCACAGCCGCGCTGAATGCGGAAGCCCTGTTTGAAAGCCTGTGCGTCTACGTGGTGGAACAGATGCCATCTAAAGCACCTGGCCTGGTACGTCTGAGGCCGAGAACAATCACTACAGGCAGTCCTCGCAGAGCTGTCTCCGCCGATGGACCCCATCTAATGAAAATGCTTGGATCGGACGACACCCCAGGCAGCCAAAATACACACGCGATGTCGACTTCAGTATTTGGAGAGAAACGGTTGAGAAATGCTCAGTCTCATGACGACCTGACTGGCAGCTGACAGACAGCCCTATGGGAAGAATAATTGAGGAATATATGCACAGATATATACATCGGCAAGCCGGACCTGGAATTTGGTTTGCATTTACCCTGTGAAGATGCGCTTGGGCACAGAAGGCAGGCCAAACAGCCCTTCTGACTTTAATTTACTGAAGTTTTTCCCCAGGATGTGCGCTAAAAAGATGCCAGATAACACGACTCCTTTGTTATCATCGCTTTGACAGAGTGAATATGTTGCTGATTTAAAGTCGAAAGCTTTTTTTATTTTGGTCCTTATAACACGCTTATTTTGAGAATGCAGCGCAGTAGTCTGACCCCGTCAACCTTTCCACCGGTTTCCTGCATTAGGCTGTGGGTTTTACCTTGATAATATCCGCTTGATGAAACTGTTATGGCCTCTCGAGTGCCCTTAACATGGCTGTCCATAGGAATGGTTTGGTGCGTCTTCCTCTCCCTCCCTTTCTTCTTCTACTTCTTCCTCTTTTTCTTCTTCTTCTTCTTCTTCTTCTTCTTCTTCTTCCTATTCTTCAGGTACTACTACTACTATATCCACCGTCAATCTTACTACTAACCACGTTACTTATACTACTCTTACCAATATTTATAGCGGCAATAATA